CGGGTGAAACAACTTTTATTTTGTTGTTATAATTTAAGTACTATGTGTTGACAACATTGGGTTGTGATTCTGTCCTGTACAACTTCTTACTTGTCTGTAAATGTTATGACTGGCTATTTATGTGTGATATGTTGACACAAAAACACATAGAAGTCACTACAAGGAGATGGGAGAACATTGCTTGGAACACCCAGAAATGTGCCCATCACTAAAATTCAAGGGGGAGATTATCATCATTTTGGAATAGTCAAAGGGGTGCTTTCACAGTTGGCATGTTTGTGTGTACCATCAACTATGGCTACTATTAACATCCAGTTTAATATAGATGGCTTACCTTTATTTAAAAGTTCTAAACTTCAGTTTTGGCCCATACTTGGATGTCTGACATGTGACTACACAAAGTCCCCATTTGTTGTAGGCATTTTTTGTGGTCTAAGCAAGCCAGTGAGTGTTTTTGAGTACCTGGATCAGTTTGTCAAAGATCTTCAGAATGTATTATCTAATGGCATTATTTATAATGCTAAGCAATTTAATGTAGAGATTTCTGCCTTTATTTGTGATGCGCCGGCAAGAGCTTATATTAAGCAGGTCAAAGGATTCAATGGCTATTCAGGTTGTGACAAATGCTTTCAGGAGGGTGTATGGATGAATAAAATGACATTTCCTGAAACAAAGCATAAACTTAGGACAGACTCCAGTTTCTCTGACATGGTTGATGAGGAACATCACATTGGAAAGAGCCCTTTATCTGGTTTAGTTAAGATGGTTTCTATGTTTCCACCAGATTACATGCATCTCTGTTGTCTCGGAGTTACAAGGAAAATGCTTCATATATGGTTAAAGGGGAAACATTTGGCAACAAAGGTTCCTTCCCAAACTGTAGCAGCCATTTCAGATAAACTCCTAAAGCTACGTTTCTAAACGCCTTCTGAGTTTAACCGTAAACCAAGGGGACTGTCGGAGATAGATCGGTGGAAAGCTACTGAGTTCCGATCCTTCATGTTATATTGGGGTCCTGTTGTTTTGAAGGATTCACTCCCCAGTGAGCTGTATGACAACTTCATGTTGTTTTCTGTTGGAATGTACATGTTGCTGTCCCCTAGTATATCTGAGGAAATGTTAGCCTTTGCACAAAAGTTGATGGTTGCTTTTGTTGAACACTTTGGGGAATTATATGGAAAAGATGAAATTGTGTACAACATACACCAGCTTACTCATTTGGCTGAGGAATACAGGAGGTCCAGCAATCTAAATAATATATCAGGATTTCCTTTTGAGGATTGTCTTAGTCAAATTAAGCATCTTCTATGCAAGCCACATCAGACACTACAACAGGTAGTTAAAAGGTTGTCTGAAATCTCACATGTTGGATCCATATGTTGTAGAGATTATCCAAAGTTGCTTTACATCCACATTGATGGTCCAGTCCCCACACAGTTTATTTCTTCACAACAGTACAGGAAGGTCTCCACTCATCGGTTTACTTTGTCCACAAAAAAAGGAGACAATTGTGTTGAAGTTGGAGATGGATTTGCATTAGTAGAGAATATTATTAAATCAGAAGAGGATACATATATAATTTTCAGAATGTACAGACACAAACAGCCATATTACATGTATCCCTGTGAATCATCATACATTGGCACATACAAAGTCAGTGGCTTTGAAGAATGAAATGGGGATGACCTGTAAGGAGATATTATGAGTAGTTCTCATTTCATCCCTAGCCCTTCGAAGATGAGTAGAGAGGTGGTACTGTGGTCAGTTATACAGTTCCCAAATGGTGGGACAGCAGTAGTTCTAGAGAGCTGGTTTAAAGCTGAGGAACAGACGCTGTTATGGCCCCCAAAACACATAACACTCAAAAAAGCCCTTCGAGATGGAATGCAACCAGATGACAAATGGATCACCTACAAGGATGTACGAGTCCTTACTACGTGTGGTGAGTAACTTGTGCAACACATGCACAGCTGTTCTACACAGTCCTGCTGTCATGTTATAGATAATTCAGCTCAATATTTTCTTCTTTTCAAGTATTTTCATCTATTGGGACATGACATTACAGATGCAAAAGTTTGTTTAGGAGGCTACATTAAACCAAGTAAACAATATATATAATTATAATAAAGCGCTGGTACCTCAGAGGTCCAGCTGAGATGTTTTGTGTATGTAAAATCAGAGAAGACAAATGTGAGGAGGCAAATAGTGATTGGCCAGAATGAGATGATGTATGATAGTAGCGCTTCACACAGGT